TTATTTTCTCCTCACAAATTTTCAGTTAGTCTTTCACAAACTTGGTCATGATGGCTTAGATAACATACCTAAAATAAACAAACTCGAAGATTTGCATATATGATGCTGTCTCTCTCTTTTCCCCCCTTAGTTGTGGAGTTGACAAACTATTTGAAAACTGAAGCATAGAAATAAGAGGAGTGGTTAAAATCGTCAGTGATTGCCGTACATCCTTTAGGGATGTTGTGTTTGTAACCTGTTTTCAGGTTACAAAAGCTGACGTCACACTCACTGCCGGCAGCAATGCAGGGTTATAAATACACCTCCATGTATCAAAATAACACTCGTGAACTTTGTGGGTGGAATGTAGGTACTGCAAATTTATTGCCACCAGTGTCCTGGACATACATTCTCTCTTTATGGCACATAAATTGCAATCACCATTGTACCTTTTTGACAAGTCAGCGAGACCAAAATATTTTTTTTTCTGGACTAAACATAATCTGCTTAGCAGAATCACTATGTGGTGGACAGCCTTTATCATTCATGCATTTGTGTTAAGATGACCCTATCAATGGACTCCCTGTTGGCTTAGATTGATATCATCAATAGTTAGACTTTGCAACAACTTTCTGCATATGACAGGAATCTATCGCAAGGTCACATAAGGCTCTACTTAATAGTGTCAATTACATGACCAGGATTGCCACTTTGTTAGTGAGCTCTGGAGTTATTCTATTTGAACTATTGTATTTCTCTTTGCTTGTGCTTAAAGTTTGAATGACAACAAGAGAGGCATTGATGTTTGGTATGTGTTTCTGTTGCCTAGACTTTGTAAAATATGCAAGGGTTTCTGCATGGTTGTAGGATCTTGCCAATGTTCTAACACTCATGTTCAAACTATTTTTGAGTCAGCTGCTCCCAAGCGTTCGCCCCAGCGTTTGACTCATCATCCTACGGTTTTGCACCAAAGTCCAATAGGTGCTGAAAAATTGCTGATAAGCTTGTTTTACTGCTGTTGTTATTGCTTTTATATTGCTATTTTACAAGGAATTGACTTAGGTAATATGCGTCTCCTTATCCATGTGCTGTACAATGTTGCTAACAGAGAATGTCTTCATGCAACGTTTTCTCAAAGCATACATCATTGTTCCTGATTCATGTTCTTTGTCAGTTTTGTGCCACCCTTTGAATGAGAGCTTTATCTTAGATCATCTATAACAGAAGGGCACAATTTGTGGAGTTGCAAAACTTTGGCCTTTAGTTCGCATGTTTGGCCGCAACAGGACCTGGAAGCTATTCACAGAGTAGAACAGATGATGAAATGTAGGTCAGACAAGCCTTCTGGCTGAATAGAGACTGAAACATTTATTTGTAACCTTAAAACCTTCCAAAGACAAATATATTAGGTTTCTGGCGATTCAACATTGTGAATAGATTTCTCTGATTGCCCTATGTTGGACTGTCAATGGTGTAAACCACCTTTTAACCCACTTATGTCAATATAGAAAAAAAAAACATCACTGCAGTGAGATGTCTTTTAGCAATATCTGCAAATTATTTAAAGAAATTTACCTATTGTCTTTTTATGTGTCATTATACAATTTAAAAAATGTATGAAAACTTTGGCTGATGTATCTTATTCCTCCTTTTTTGTGCTCCAGTGAATGAGATATTCATAAACTTAATTTAGTTTTCTGTTTAGAAAGTAAACTGAACCCTAATAAGGAATGCATTCATTTCAATAATTAAGCTACATGTGTTTTTTCATGAAAGTTGAATATTGTTTTATCCAATAAGAATTACACTTCAATATTGCAGCCAAACAGCATAATGCTCCCAAGCTTGACAATGGTTGCAGGGTCCTTGGTTTGAAAAGTCTCACCTTGACTTCGACAGCTGAATCTTTGTCTTTTGTGACTGTTTTCCCCAAAAGTAAATTTGCATGGTTCATTTTCGCAGCTGCACATTTTAGTCAAATTTGAAGGTGTCCCTTTTAGAATAGAGGCTTTTTACTTGGTCACCACACTGTATACAGTGTCGCTTGTTCTCCGAGTTCATGCCAGCTTTGCTTAGGTTCTTCATGAACATCCTAACCAATTTAGTTTTTGTTTGAGGTAGACAATCGGACCTACCTCTGCACCACTGGTGCCCAAAGTTAATCCTCGAGGGCCTAGCATGTTTTATTTCTAGCATGTTTTATTTTTTTCCCTGGTGTAACACACCCGGATCCAAAGGTTGTTACTGCCACCAGGGAGAGAACTAAAACATATCGAATGCCCGACCGACTTTAGGCACCACTGCACACATTGGTAAAGTGCTGGTACAACAGCATAGTTGTGGTGTGGTATTAAAATGGTTCCAAAAGATTTCTTCCAACATGTGTAGTTCTCCTCATAGACATCCACTTGGTTTCAGAGACTTTCTTATTGTTCTAATGCTGTGTTAGATGTGTAATTTGAAATTGAATTACCAAAAAATCGATTTAAACAGATGCAGTAAGTAGACTAAATGTTGTGAAAGTTGTAGAATTAAGTGGTGGATGGCGTTTGTTAAATGAGTGAGACTCATATTCACTTGTTTTGAGAAACACGTGTTTTGAGAAATGGTTCTCTTAGTCTTTAAATATACAAAAAATCCATTGGTATTGGCTTGTGCTGTTAATGCTAACATGGCTGCTGAACACAAGCGTCGTCATGTTCCATTGGCTTCCCTTCTTGCTACAGGGTTATCTAGTGCGTTCTGCAACACAAATCCCTTTCCTCCTGGAAAATAATCAGTTCCCTTCCCAGAATTATGATCAGTAATTAGGATTAAATGAGCTTTTACTATGGCAAGATAAAAGGTGTTAGAGAACTTTCAGGTCATATTTTATAAAAATGTAGGTTAAAGTATAAATATATGCCTGTGGGCATATTTTCAATGCTGTTGTTGAGGGAATAACCGCAGTTAATTTAAACATGTTCACACAATTCTTCTTTCTAAAAAGTATATTTTAGTTGCCTGTTGAGCAATTATTTGACACACACAAAGGAAAGGTTGAAATAAATCACTAGCATCACCAAATTAATGTTATTTACAATGTTATATACAATTCTATGTGTGTATGTAATCTTTGACCACTACTGTAGAATAATTGGTAGAATTATTTTTCTAAAGAAATTTAGTCAAATTGTCACTGTGTCTTTGCCAAATTTTCTTCATCCAGTATCTTGTTTGTATGCTATGTCTACTGCACCAAACAGAAGGATTAATTTAGAAACAGGCTTCAAAGAAACCGCAGAGTCATGATCACTGCAGGACAACTTGACCTCCAACTGTCAGCATAAATACTCTCCAGACAAAATCCAGGTTAAGTAAAATGTTGCAAAAGCGAGACGATAAAACGTTTCGAAGCTCTTACCTGCAACAGCTTACAAGACCACTTTTTATAATGAAACCCCAAATAAGTGAAAAAATGGTTGGGGGAGTGATGATGTGGAGGTGAGGACACAAAAGCGATGGTGCAGGTGAGGAGGGAAAGCAACAAAAACTTGCCATAGATTATTCAAGGAAATACCACCAGGAGAGACGATGAATAACAGCAGCAAAGCGATGGAAGGCCCCAGTAGCGTGGGTGAGATGCTCCCTTGCCATTTTATCTTCTGTGGGTTTTGAAATAAAGGACCTGCCAGCTTGTGTTCTTTTTGTCAGTGCCCATAGTTAATCTTAAGAGAGGTGGAGTCATTGAAATACACATAAAATGTTAAGATTGAGTTAAATTTAAGCAGAGTTTTTAATATCCCAGGGAGCAGTTTGTCTTATAGCAAAGAGTTGAAAGTGAAAAGGCAGTTTATACCAAATGTTTTAATTGCAATAAATGTCTATGGCTATAGAGTATTAAGATATCATTATTATGTGGAAACATTAACTGAAATAATCTCCAGCTGACAGATTGAAGGTGAAAGCAAGATCCTGTGTCTGTAAGGTAGACATTTTGGACATTAAGTTTAATGTTAAATAATGAGTAGAAACACATGGGCTACAATTTGTTAATGTGTGCCTTATAAACCAACCCATTCTTGTAGAATGAAAGAGAGAACATTTACAAAACTGGAGGTTGTTTTGAATGCTTACACATAGTAGGCACCAACTAAATCAACAAGCTTTTTCTTCCAGATGGAGTTTTGTGTGTTGAGAGCAGTGACTCAGTGTATGTGCGCAGGTTGCTAGTTGCTTCAAAGAATGGCCAAACATCAGGTTTAACAAGCCATGATAAAGTGTCCTGTTACATTCAAAGGGAAGGTTCAAACTCAAATTTAATAAAATCTTTTTTTTCCCCACTTCCTTGGACTTTTATTTATCCATCTGAATTGTTTCGATGTTGCTGAACGCTTAAAATATTGGTCATTGTGTTTTCTTTAATAGATGTAGATATAGAAGGGGATAGAAAAAAATAGCTATGCAGTTCATGCTTTGACAATGAACCAACCATGTAGACATTTTTAAGCTAACACCACAGGGACGATTATTCGGAAAGGATAGTACTCTTCGGGTTGAGAGTCAATCTCTTCCTCAAGTGGAGGAGGCATCTTGGTCTTTGATCATGTGTGATGATAATAGACAGAAAATTAATAGATCGATTAGTGCCTCAACCTATTTCTGATTTAGAAAGCATTCAGGTGTAGTTTTTGTACAAGTCCTTGTGGTTGCTTTAGCGATCATCCAGATATAATGAACTGAGTTCTGGGTTAGCCATGAGACTAACCCAGAACTCAGTGAAGGGATTAATCTCCCAAGTAGAGGCAGTTGGAGATGCCCTAGAAGGATCCAGGGCATCTAGACCTCTGCAAGTTGGCTTTTCCGTGCTTCTACTGTGACTTTAAAAGAAATTACATATTTAGGGAATAAGATTAGAAATATGATCAAGTCAAACTCATTCAAATAACACGTGAGTCATACCTGAAAATCAAATGTAAATGAAGCTAAAAGCATTGTATCACAAATAACTAATTATTGTTCTCCCTTTAATCCTCCACCAGTGGTCGTGTGAAACCGCTGCTCGGCCGGTTCAGTGAGCTTGAAGCCTTGCTGTCTAACATGAACATTAAGTCAGGCAGCATTGATGCTATCCTGTTGGATGCAGGCTGTTCCTCCATGCAGATGGATCAGGCAGAGAGAGGCTTCTCCCTCAGCAAGGATGGACCTTTGGATATGAGAATGGATGGAGAGAGGTAGGACATTTGCCACATGGACCTTTGGAGCTGCTGGATTGTCAGAGCCAGTAGAACCTTAAGATTGCTCACTGATGCAAGAACCTAACATCTGAATGCAATTAAAATCACAACTAATCAGAAAAGGCAATGTTTTCCTATGTATAATTATCTAGTTTTGATGAATGTGGGTGAGATTTTACCCTTGGTTTCCTATTTTGAACTGACAGGGGTATGAGTGGTACTCTGAGGTGGTGGCCTGAGTTTAAGACTCCGATATGACTTCAGAGTTCAGATTAGGCTTAGACTGAATGTAGATTATGGCCTGTAAATGGCTCATAACAATTTGCACATATTTATGCCTTAGTTTTACAGTAATGACATAAATGTCTCTAGTTACAAAATTATGGATTAAGAATACTTCTGACTGAAAATATCCTGTTTTGCTCAATTAAGAAGTTTGAGATTGGCATCTCTCAAAATATGGTAAAACAATGTAAAGGACTTGCAATTAAAAACACAAAAAAATCTATTTTTATTTCCATTATATTAAAACTTGCAATTTAAAAATGACTAACACTTTTCATTAAGTAATAGAAAAATCTTTGCTGGCGTCACTGCAATAAAGTTCTTCCTTTTACTGCTGACCAGAGTCTCTTAAATCTCCACTGGTAATTTGATCAGATTCAAGTTAGGTCTGTGGCTCCAGCACTCGAAAAGTTGATACTACTTCCAGTTAGACAAAACATCTTATATTTTAATATCTTCTTAAATAAAAGGTTATTTGAAATCTAAAGCTGAAAGGGATGTGAATAATTTGAGTGGTGAGAATACAAGCAAAGCTGAGCCCAGTCCTCTACTTCTTTTTCGGACTCGCTCTGTTTTTGTTTGTGAGAACAGCTTTACTAGATGGTCAAAATAAATTTTTGAAATAGAAAGCCACAGGTGGTTTCCCATCTCCAACTACCAACATGTTTTATTCATCTTTCCTTCAAAATAACCAAAACCAAATGTTATTCCCATTAACATACTTAATATAATGTGTTACTTTTTGTTTAAAATATGGACCAGCTTTTTAGACATTCTTTGACGTAATGCTTCTTATAATTATTAAATGAATTAGGAAAGATAAATATTCCTGAGGTCTAAATTTAAGACAACTGTAATAGACCTCAGTATACAGGCACACTACATACAAATGGGAAATGTAGCTGCAAAGATAGTGCAATATTCTTAGAAATGCATACACTTTGTTTTTTAACATTTGCATAACCTGTAAATCAATCCCTTAACCTCGTCACAAGCTGTTGCTAAAGCTGCATTTCCCTTTTTTTCTGACTTGCAATGATTTTGCTCAAAATTGTCACTCATGCAGGCTTTCAGCTGTATCTCAGAGTTGTCAGGATTCGCCTCTGTCAGCCAGGACATGACGTCAAACAGTTTAATTGGGCTTCTTTTTGTGCGTAGGTACCCTGACATGCCCTGCGCTGCTGACGTTGTGAATACCTTAGATCAACAGGCTCTTGCATCTATCCTCACTGCATATGGGGAAGAAAGACATGCCAGGAAAATAGCTTCAGCCATTGTGGAAGCGCGCCGTGTCAACCCCATCACCCGGACACAGCAGCTGGCCAGCGTGGTTGCAGGTAGCGAGACTCTACCCTGATTAATTCCCCGCAGGATTCTTGGGGCTGTACGGGAAAATAAAACTGGGAGTTATTAATGCTGTCTCCCAGAGGGACACGCATGTCTAAGAAAATTATAATGTAATCTCGGCCATCAGCCTTTCTTCTTCTGCTTCAATTTTAGTTGCCCTATTCCACACCTTCTTTTGAGAGCAAGATGAGATGGAGATGGAGGTGGCTGGAACAAAATGTGGCTAATGCCTTGAAAACAGTATTTTGCATACAATCGCCCATCTCTCTCTCTCTCCCCACTCTCTGCTTCCTTGTTCCCTTTTTGCCCACCCCTTTTTTTTGACTTGCAGACATACACCTGACAAACATCCAAACACCCACATGTCTCCAAACAATTGGCACACTCGTGCATACAAAAGGGCTTAGCTATTTGTCTTCAGTGATTGTTTTTATTTTTTCCCTTTAGCCTTATGAATCCGGATTTGAGATGCGAGGTGTCGTTGCAGCAGTTATTGAACAGAGCGGCGTATGCGTCAGTGTCACCCTGGGAGAGCAGGTGTGAGTAAGAGCAGCTGTTTGATCTCTTTTCAAGAGCGAGGCAAGTTAACATCGATGTTTATTTGAAGCGATTCAAGACATCTTGATTCAGGAAAGTTCCAGGGGGAGCTCTTCGACCACCTGTGACAGTGATGGTTTTAGGAAAACATTACAACCCCATAACAAGTCATGAAGCTGTACACATGAGGAGAGCAAATTAATTTATATCCCCATCATTTATCAACAAACTGTTGCTCTTCTGATTATATTCTATCAGCTTGCCAATGCATACATGATTCTTTAACTTTTTCACATTATGTCATGAAAAACCACAAATATTATTCCTTTATTATCAGTATTTTATAGAACTGAGCAACACAGATTACCAATTGTGAAATTAACCCTGCCGCTGTCTAATGATAAGGGGTCATTTGGACCCAGCAAGTTTTTTACCCGGTGCACAGTCCAGCCATTACGAGTTTTTGTGTGTGTGTGGTTTGGGAACTGACGGTCTGATGGAACCCGTCCTCCACACTGTCCGACCGTGACATCTGCACTAAATCTGCAGGGAGGTTAAAGAAAAAAGAAACACTTTTATATTTACATTATATTTTCATATTTACCAAGCTAGATAACCCAGCAATCCACAGACCACTGCTGCCTCAATCACCGTCAACCACCACACACCCACTTCACCACCAAAACCTCACACACATTGCCACCCTCAAGCCACATCTCTGTGTAAAATGGGGGCTGGTTGTTTACAGCACATTCAATTTCTGGTAAGCTTCATAGTGTAGCTTTCTTCATAGTCAAGTTGGTGCACATGCATTACAAACAAATGGTAGCGACTATGTAAAATGTAAAATCAGATCCAATTATTTAAAACTTCCACCCTTCCAGTAAGCAAACATTTATCATTAGCCAAGGGTCCAGATCTTTTGTATGAAGCAAAACATACAACAAGGGGTTAATTTTTACCAGGCTATCTTTTTTGTAGTAATTTTATCTTTGTTGTAATCAACTATTACCAGTTTTTAAAAATGTGTGACATAAGAGTTTTTCCTCAAGCAAAAAAGTATCTCTTCTGAATGCCCTGTACTGTGGCTGATTCCATGAATGACAACAAAAAACATAAGTTTTCAGCTAATCAGGAGTTCTCAACTTTTAAATATGAAGTTAGCAGAAAAGGTTAAAGTCTTATAAAAACAAACAACCAAAACAACAACAACAAAAAACCTGCACATGTCTAGCAAACTGCTTCAGTAGGCGTAAGGAAATACTGCCCATTTCTTCTGCACCGAGAGACCTGTGGTTTGTGTTTAAAGTCTTTCTGTTTGAATTATTCAAAAAATGCATGTAAAAACTTTCACTGTCAGTGCAAGACTGTTGAACATGTCCAAGTTGTAGATGTAAATTACTACATAAAACGTGAGATGTGATTTAATGAGGTTCATAGTGCATAAACAAGTGAATATTTTGAGCATGTAAACACTTTGCAGCAATGCTTTTCATTCTGGCATCAACATTATCCAATGTTGTTGCCAGAATGCATGCTTTGTTCATGTTCTTTTACATGAAAAAAACCCATCCTTGTTAACTTAAAAAATTCACATAAAGTATTAATCACACTCTTGAATGTGCTCATTCAAGCATAATAAACTGAACAGGTGAACTCAGACACTTGGTCTTGCTTTTCTGTTTTATTGTCTCTATAAATTCTTACTTAGGCTTTGACCTACAACATAATGCACTGATGCAGAAAAACTGGCTTTACATCTTTTTTTTTTAGACAGTTAATGATTCCAGACGCTGGCAGGAGAGCAGTTCCAGACCTCAGGAGGTTTCCAGTGATTTATCTGTGGTATAAATTCTGTCAGTCAAACCTTTGGACACGTCTATTAATTTTGAATGAGGCAGTTACTAAAAAAAATGACTGGCACGGTAGTTTTTTATGTTTTTCTTCCTCTGAGCAACATGAATTTTAAGTGTAAATGTTATGTTTGATATAATTTGTTAATATTATAACATCCTGCCAAATTTCAAACTGGAGATTTCAAAAGAAGTGGTGCTGTGCTTCTGTATTATTACAAATCAACCTTTAGTGTGCAATAAAGCGCATGTCTGCTTTATCCTAACATGGAAAAAGGAAGAAATAGGAACATTTTAGACTAATATGGTTATTTTCCACAGAACCAGTGGCTCACGTCAAGGGGATGATGAATGATATACATACAGACAAGCTGGTGCCAAAGCCTCCAACAGAGTATTAAGAGCAATGGCCTGATGCTGTTGACCTGTCTTTGTCCTCCACACATTTCAGACTAGTGGCTTTGTTTGCTTCTTTATTCTGATGTTTCTAACATATAGAAATTATTTTTTTTGCACACAAGCACAAAGGCTGTACTATAGAGTAGGTTTATGCTCAGAATTAGTGTAAATGTAAATAATTTTGTGGTTTTCATGATCTTTTTTAAAACCACACTTTTCCACTATGTAAAAAGAGAGATAAAAACAAATACATGTTTCGAGGTGAATTTGAAGGTAATGCTGTTTCTGTTCATTTATTTCCTCAGAGAAACATACAAAATAGATTCATTTCACCCGGACTGATGTTTTCAAATCATTATAACTATGATGATTACCTCTAACGGGAACAGAGCACTTATAAAAGCATTTTTACAGAAACATTTAATCTGACAAGCAAAACTTATTAAAATGCATATTCAAACTTATTGAATATGAGTGTGCATGGAAAGCTTGTTGCAAGATACCCAATTGCATTTGAGTGAGATCAAAATCTGGACTTTGGCTTTTGCCCAGGACAAATGTTTCCTTAATTTTCACCCAACTCTTGGTGGATTTAATTATCTGTTTTGGGTCACTGTCATGTTAAAGGACTTAGTTCTGCCATATGTTTATACATATTTATGGTGGATTGTATGGTTGTGAGCTAGCTAGGCCCTTTTGCAGCTTGGTATATAGATATGTACTATATCTATGCTTCACAGTTTGTAAAAATGTTTTTTTCCTCAAATGCTGAATTTGATTTATGCCAAATACTTGCTTTATTTTACCAACTGGGCTAATTAATTAATATCTGTTGATTACAAAATAGATTTAAGAAAATGGATTTCTCTTTACATGATTTAATTTTGTGCAGAGCCAAGTTCAACTTTACTTTTTGTTCAGAGAACAAATGAATCATATTTCAACATTTACGACTGTAGCATCTTAGAACACATTCCTTTTTGTGGCTTGGTCAAAACATTAACTATTCCAACCATCTGCAGGCCAAAACCTGTACAAACAGAGCTGTGTGAGGTTTATTATGCGGTTCCGTTTTATACACTCAGCGTGTTTTGGTTCATCCTTAACCAGCAGATTTCCTCTTTTTGTAATCTCTTCTTACCTCCATAGAGCTGCCTGCAGGACCTTTCAAAGGTGAATTAGAGAAAGAGAGCATGGCTTGGTTAAACTAGACCAGAGCTGGTCCTTGCTGTGCAGGCATTGTATTGATTGCAGCGTGAGTCACACCTTGGCCTGTTCAGTGCAGGAGGAGAGAAATGCCACATCACTCACTTCTCCATTTGTTGCTCTATCTCTTTGGATCTGTGTAAGTGCCTAATTGTTCTTTTGTTTTCAGTGTCTAGTTGTCATGGGTTGGTCGAGATTAACTTTACAAATTTCTGAATTTGTTTGGCTTTGACTTCAAAACTCACATGAAAACATTTCCTACCTGTGATGGTTTCAGTTGGAGATAGAAACGGCTAAATTCTTTGCATCTTTACATTTTTTTTTGTTGCGAACAGGAGGACAAATTATATTATTCTACAGTTTAACTTGAATGTGACAGTGACACATAATTAGTGACACATAAGCAATAACAACACCATCTCCACCCTCCATCTGCTCCACACAGTGCCTCTAATGGACCTGCCGCTCAGTCCAACTGCAGCTCCCTCTTCACTCCTAACTTTGGCTTGTTTATATCCTTTAATAAGCTGTTTTTTTTTATTGCTGTGACATATTTTCTCTGAACCGATCAGTCTTGTGTTAATGATATAAATCAAGCTGTTATTTGTGTTGTTTTTTTTTAGTGAAAGAATGGTGTACATACAGTACTGAGCAGACGTATTCACCCATCTGTCATTTCTTTATATTTTGTTTCAAAAGAGCCAGATTGTCTTGTCATTTTTTTTTAAATGCTCTTGAGCAATACTTTCCAAGACTCCCTGAGGGTCTTTCAAAGCTTTCTTTGAATATGAACGTGTTTTGGAATAACAAGTCTCTGCAGAACAATCAAATCTTCTCTTTCCTGTTTTTTGGCCATTTACCAATAGCCTTTGAATGATTTAACCACAAAAGAGGCCTTTTAACTTAAAGAATAAAATATTGCATCAACATATAACATACATTTAAAGTAAATTGGGGTTTTTGGGCACTGTGAACTAACATGGAGCCAGAACTAACATGGAGCTTGTTAGTTCTGCTTTAATCGATTTAATCTATGAAAAATAATTAAAAGGGGTATACCGTCACTTTTCAGACTTTCCCTTTTGTGTTATGTTTGGGCTTGTAGCGCAACACAATAGCACAGAGAAATGTTGCAAAGCAATGCATTGGCGTTATGCTTGGAAGATAAAACTTAGGCATCAATGAAGAGTTAGGAGTAACATTTTCTGAGAGCACTCCCTCGGAAACATAGCAAACCAGCACCCTGTGGAGGGTTTTTAAAATGGTTTGTGACTGGCTTTCAGATCATCTCTGCTACAGTTTTAATTGGGAGTGTTGCTTTAGTTTCTCTGACACTTGGGCTTCTGCACTTCCATGTTATTCGTGAGTGATATAGTAATTGTGCAAGTCTCTAGTAAGTCTCTGTTTTAGGCTATTTATAAGAGTTTGGCTCTCTTACATGTTTACTCTTTGATTATGCTCTATAAATGTAACATTGTACCTGTATCTCACATTTTGGTTGTTCCTTCTCTTAAAGAAGCTGTTATGGTCATAGTCGTGGACCAAAAAATTGCTTCCAAGAGAGAGACTGTTGTTGGAGGGTCAGGAAAGATATTCTGTGCCCGTTTCCTCTTATAATGCTCACTCTCTTGTCCTGCAGAATCTTTGCAGCAGAAATGCTTATTATATTCTTTTTTTAGTTTTTCCAGTAAGCAGCTATACATTTAAAATATTTCCTTTAGAAAGCTTTTTTTTTAAAAAAGAAAACCATCTGTTTGCAGTCATTGAAAGAAACAGGATCAAAGATTGTGTTTCTATCAGAAAAGCGTCTTTTGAAATTACTTGTTTTGAAATGTAATGGAAAAAGACTGATTGTGGTTTAACTGTTTCTGTACTTTCCAGATCTTTATATTTCTTTGCTCAGAAATATGCAAATATTTACATAGTTTGGCCAGGGGTGTAACTTTTACTCCGTAGTGATTTATGTGTGGAAATTAACACATCATTATGTCATATCACATGTTATTTTCAAACTAAACTGCAAAAGGGCGCTCTAGGCTTGCGTTATTCTACCTTCGGAGTTAGCAGCGTTGTTTACAAGCGACACCGAGGATGAAGATTTCAATGCATTTAGTGATTTGGAGAGATACGGATGGTTTGGCAAACTTGTTAGCATGTTATTTATGCTATAGTTCTCTGAATTACTCTTAATATGTCATGTTAACATATCGGGCACGTTCTCAGTTTGTTGTTCATGTGTCATGTAACATTAGCATACCGTACAATTATCCAGCCTATTGTTGCCTCTATTCTATTTTTATTGCCTTTCAAGATGGCATGTCTGTTCTTGGTGTTGGATTTTATCAAATAAATTTCCCTCAAAAGTGCAACTTATACTCTGGTGCGACTTATGTATGTATTTTTCTTCTTTTTTGCACATTTTATGGCTGGTGCAACTTATACTTCGAAGCGACTTATAGTCCTGAAAATACGGTAACAGAAAACAAAAATTAACACCAACAAAGTGATTCTCAAATGCTTGGCAGGTCTTGTTAACTGATTAAATTGGTCCTAAATTACAGCACTAAGAAAAGCCTTCAAACTCCTCACTTCCATCTGATACCAAATGGACTTACTCTGCCTGTTTTATGTATTTATTTATTTTTTTCAGGAGCTTTTCCTCCAGCCGTTCTCTATGCACGCAAAGACCGTCTTCAACGTCGTGCCCACATTGCAACTAAGACGTTCCAGGCCCTGCGGATCTTTGTGAACGATGAGTTGAATGAATTGCACGCGGGGCTCTGCGCGGCCCAGTCAGCGCTGAAACCTGGAGGAAGGCTCTGCGTGATCACATTTCATTCGTTGGAGGACAGACTGGTCAAACGTTTCCTGCAGGGGCATGACTTGTCTAACTTGGATCAATACCACTTTAGCCAAAACAAGCAAGGCAGCAGAAAGAAAACACTGGCGGATGAGAACAGTGAATGCAACAACAGTTCTTACTGGCTTCCTGTAAAAAGAAAAGTGGTCAATCCAGAAAAAGACAGCGTCAGAGAGAATCCTCGTGGACGATCTGCTAAACTCCGGATAGCTCTACGGCAGTAACTTTCCAACGATCATGGAAAAGAGAAATTGTATTTCATAATGAAAATTTCATGTTTTTTACCGTGAACACAATACTGCACACATATCTGAGTTTGTTGCCTAGTGAAGCAGTGAAGTGGTTTGTCTTTGAACTGAAATGCGTAACAGCTTTCGGACCATTTGGTAACAGAAAAAAAGGTGACAGTATCTGAGCTTTTGCATCAAGTGAGAATTAATGCCAGGCAACAACATGCTTCATCTTTGTGATCTAGTTTTTTAAGAAAATGAATAAAAACCATAACCTTATCCTTGCCAAATTCTCTCAAAGATATTTCAATGACAGCTCATTGTGTTTTTATATTTATTTGATACAAACATTCTTATACTAAGCTTCACTGTAATTGTACTTCAGTCAGAAGACTTTTTGCAGAAGATGTATGTCTTTTCATGAGAGTGCATCACTTCGCACGTCTGCCGTGGCGTTATTAGCGAACAGCAGCAACGGTGTTTAAGTAAAGACAGCCTAAAAATGTCCTTAGTCCAAAGCTGATTTTTAAAATGACTTAAAGGTTTTTGTGACTGGTCAAAATTTGCAATGTTGACACTGAAGTTAAGAAGCAGTAACCTTGTTTCATGAAATTATTTCTCATTTGACTTTTTTTAATTGATAATGCACAATTTTATCAAAACAGGATGAATGTTCTCGTCACTCCAAATTTCTAAACATGGAGGCTTCAACATTTTAGTTTGTTGGTTTTCATAAATCTGTCTCCTGCTGCCAATAAAATCTGTAGTTTCATGTGTGGCCCTGCAAAGAACTGCGTTGCACTGCTTTTTTTTTATTAGTCTGAGATTCGTTTGTGGAAACGTAGCTCTTGCAAACGAAGCAATTTATTTTGGAAAAAATTTGGTTGAGGAAAACAACCCAATGCCATTTTTGTTTTTACAGTAGATGATTTGGTCATAATGCTGCCCAAGTTGACAGATTTTTGTCATCCTGGTTTGATTTTATTCAATAATTACTTTACTTATTTAAGTAAAAGGTGCTAACCTCTGTTCAAGTGTATCTTTTGGTGGTATTCTTTGTCTGAGACAGTTTTTGACTTGAGCATCATGTTTTAAAGTTGTTTTCTACTTCAAGACAGCATAGATGTATCACTTCCAGGCTTTTTGGTGTAGGTGAGCCCAACAGTTTATTCATCTGAACGATATGAACAAAATGGAGGATGTTGCCAGTTTCAGTTGTTTCTTTTCTATTGAATTTTTAATTGTTTGTAATATCTTTAAAAGGTCCTGAGAAAAGCCACACACACACAACAAAAGAGAGATTTTACAATACAGGAGCAGACTTTCTATTATGTCCTTAAACTGTCATTATAATAATTGTGAAATAAGGATTTGCTCGTTGTTTCTGTTGCCAAACAGTTCAAAATAAAAATGTCAAAAAGCAATCTCATTGTCCAGATACCAATTGTGCATGTTTACATGTTCAAGCTACGCATGATGGCACTTGAAGTTGTTGCTGCCCGAAGCTTAATATGTAAAACCAGCACAGAAATCTTTTTTTTTTTTTTTTTTTTCATTGACGTCTGTATTTTTCCTGAACCTCCCTTGATGAGTAGCTCAAGTGCAACCTCTACTGCACCATATGAATCAGTAATGCCACTAAATACTGAATGACGCAAGTGTCAGAAGTGGTGCTGAATGAGCTGGGTGGTTGTTCTTGAGCATTCTCTCACCTTCAACTGTAAGCAGATGAGGTGTTTTGATCTTTACTATTTAACTTTGGCTAATTGTAATTGCTTCATCAAGATTAACACTTTTTTTTTCTTCCTTCTCAGTTTTGTGCTCTCTAAATATACCCTTGCAGTTACCTTGGAAACTAAGTGGTGCAAGTAATACTCAAGCGCATCTAAATTTATATCCTGTAGTTTAATCTACATTGAAATTAAGCTGTATTGGGAGTTTTCTACACCCCTTCCTGGTGGCATGAGTGGATGCCACAAGGTTTTGCTGTGTGGTGTGGATCATACTTTAGGTTTTCTTCTTCTATGCCAGTTAATCAGCGAAAACTTCTATGAGAATCCCTCTGAATTTTATTTTTTGTGTGTGTGTGGGATCGACCAAAACAATCTAACGGTAACATTGTAAAATTACAGTGTGTTCAACTGCAGAAAACAAATTTATTTGTGATTTAGTTTTATGTAGTTTGTGACTCCGAATACAAACTCAGCTGTCCTTTGTATTTACTGGAGTTACACGTGAGACGCTGATCAATCACAACGGCCAATAAGAAGCAAGATTGTTTTGTTGTGTTTAGAGCCTCAGGGAAATAAGAGGTCCATTATGTATTTTACCATAAAGCCAATTTTCTTGGCCCTATAGTCACGTTATTGTTTTTATCTTTAAAGTAAATTCAGAATAAAAATGTAGATTTTCCTCAAAGAAGCACTACAATGTTTTTTTTTTCAGCAAATAGAAATAATTTAGGTAATTCTAATGAACTCAAAACAAGGAAAATTGGTTTGATTCAACATCAGACAGTTATGAAAAAAAAGATTTGCGTCTTCTTATTTGGTGTGTTTAATCATGTGGTTTATCAGGGTGAAATGACCCCAAACTCTGTATAAACGAAGACAAAATGTTCGTATGGCCTCTTATGTCCATTGCTATGATGTAAAGTGACTTACAAAATTATTCAGAATGTTTGAACATGACAGGGAAAACCTCTTTCAAAATGCAGAGTAAAGATATTCTTGTCATATCCACCTGAAGTGAAATGTTTGGGTTTGATTTAAAACATTTTATAAGTGAGAATTAAGGAAGAGGTGTCCTTATTAATTCCTCACCAGAAATTTCATTTTCGTATTGCATTTTATAAATATTATTTCTTCAGTTTTGTTGAATTACTTATTTTTTCAGTATTTGTAGAAATGTACATATTGATGTATTTGGAGATGCCTCCCTAAGCCAACTTCAAAAGGCTGCGGCGTCCTTAAGGAACAAATAAGGTCACAAAGACAGTTTATATCAAATATTTAATTTGAATCCTATAGCAGCTGCTGTTGTGAACAGTACGTTTTGGCATGTAGGCGATTAAAAATGCTGTTTGCGACCAAATTTTATTATTTCAGACAGCTGGCACAAATCTGTCTCAGGTGATGACAGCGAAATCCAGCTTGTTATGAGCTGACACTTGAGAGCCAACATATGTGCATTAATGCGCATGACAAATGTAATTTGCACCATCTGGAAAGGGACTATTTGAGGCAATGAAGATGCATTTCTAAGTTGCTTGTTTTCCTCTTATTTCAGTAGCACAATGTCAAACGGCTCACTGTATGTTTTGCAAAAAGCAGATCACTGTAGTTCAAACGTAGGAATACTAAACTATTTGTGAATGAACCTTGTTGATTCTGCTGTTTGATCAGTTTTGCTAGTTGCTTGGACTGTCTTTAGTTACCTTGTGAAGTTCACTTCCAGAGTCAATGTCAAAAAAACAAGTTAGGCACCCTGGAGGAATAATTCGATTTCGATCTTATGTGTTTTTGCATGCAGTGATGGGTAAATAAATGACAGGGTAGGGCGAGTGACTTACAAGTGAAGCAATATTTTTACAGAAAGTTGCTGGGTCATCAGACAGACAGTAAGTAAGAAGAAAGAAAAGATACAAGCCACTCCACACAGCGGATGCCTTGCTAATGCGTCAAATTTAGAGCACTGTAAGCTCTAAATGAAGTTTGATTGCGATACCATTTGCAGTGGGGGGAAAAACATTTTAAAGAAATGTATGCTCATGGTTTCTTTTGTTTTGATATACAATCTGATTGTTCTACCTCGATGCAGTGATTTGCTCACAACCAAAGCACGTCCATGTGTGTCAAGTTTCTGAGTGGACTTGGTTAAAAATGAAATCCTCTTCTTTTTTTTTTTTTTCCTCTTTGTGTTAAAATCACTTTTGCATAGAAATGACCGGGACTTGTTGCTTGATGAAAAAGATGATAATAACTGAGATTCTTACAGTCAGATTGTTCTCATCTTTTACTGCGATTCTCAGTCACCATGGAAACAGTAAGGGAGAGATAACAGTAAATAAAATGTAAGGTGATGCTATTATTAAATCCTCAGATCAATCCATATGTCGACTACCTGTAACAAGACTATTAGCAGATGTTGCAGAATCACGTTTTTGAAACGCACCGAGCCTCATATGTATCCAGTCTTCATGTAAAGTCAATTGTCAGCCTTTTCATGCTGTACAGGGAACATAGGACAGTGCTGCTTTGTGCTATTTGCGACTTTAATGTAGATATTTGCCTCGCACACGAGCGCAAGTTCCCCCTTCAGACCGACTATGTGAGGTTGGCCTCAAAAAGGTTATAAATGAGGCTAATATTAAATGGAAGGATGTTAAACTGAGTACTTCAATCCATCTTCTAAATGTGTTGAATTTGTTCCAGCGCAGAGATGTCTGCAAAATCTGTGACGGCTTACCATACTTCAAATAACACGATTAAATCAAATATTACATAACATAATAATGGGACTTTTTTTTTTTTTACCCTCTAAATTTTCTTTATCTAGTGAATCCATCAAATGTTTGAAGTCACAGGGGGAGAGATGAGATGTTTCTAATCAAGATTCCTGATGTGCAAATATGTATTGTTTCGGCCATTAGACAATTTTGTGTTGGATTTACATGTAATCTTTGCTTGTTTGCCTGTTTAAAATACCAATTCAAATAGTCAGTTGTTAACTTCAAATCCAAACAATTTTTTACTTTTGTCAGTAATTTTGCTGTTGGGGTTCAATAATTTTATCACCAACTATAACAATAAGTCAGTATTCAGCTTGTAAATGTTTTACTAGTAATGCCCTGGGTGATGGTTTCACACAAAATAATCAGTAAATAAACAACTGTTTTATTTTGCCAGCTTCCTATCCGGACCTTTGATTAGTTTTCTTCCTAACAAAAGCCAATTCTTAGAACTGCAAACAATTTAACACTCAGAAATCCTCCAGCTATGTGCATTTTACATGTTTGAGGTTGGACTGAGATGTTTTTTAGATCTTTTAATGTTACTTTCATTTGAAGAATCACATTTACAGTGATCAGGCAAGAGATCTGAATTTAATTGACGTCCGCATTCATAGTTACCATTTTATGGTCAGGAAAAAAACCCGGCTTGGGCTAAAACGCATTTTTTGGTAGCGCTCTTGCTTCATTACTATAATATTTTCTCTAAACTGGAAACAGATGATAAGGACTGGTACTTTCATCAAACGGCTAACTGGCCCATGCAATAACAATACGACAACCAAAAAATCATTTTCAGTTTTGTTACAATCCTATTAATCTGCATAGTTAAAGTCCTTAACTGCATCTGCAAGCTTTGGGACTCCAGTTGTATTGTCGCTTTCTTTGTTATTCGCCGCAGTCACTGCAGACTATTTAGAAATTATTCAAACAGATTTGTATGACACAGCTGTTTAGAGAGTAAAACTCAAAAAGATAACCAGAGGAGATTTAATATAACGAGACAAAACAAAAAGGCAGCTGCTTGGAGAGAGATGTCTAGTGGGCTAAAGGATGAGGCAGTATTTCAACACTCGCGCAAAACGAATGACGACCCACTTCCTCTGGATATTCATCCTGCCCTGATGATAGTATTCTGTTATTTCTCCACTTGTGGCAGACAGAAGGGAGTGAAGCGCCATGACCAATAACTCTCAGTGTAAAGAAAGAGACATGCGTCATTCTGCGACTCCCCCTCTGACAGACAGAAAAGCGTTTGAATTTCAGAAAACAGAAAGCTCATTCAGGCCACATCCTCCCTCCCCCTCCAGCTACCTGCCCATCTCAGCTTCTCCACTGCTATAAAGGGATCTTTCACAGCAATGCACAGAGTTTGGAGCTGTTTGAATATTGTTTGCGAGACCTGCAGGTCTCATGGGTTGCTCATTGCAGTGTGGAAAAAAAAAGTTAGTGTGCCGTCACAGTCCAGCCAGGGTTCACCACTGTGCTTCGGTTGACTAAAGCTTTTGTTTTTAAAATCAGCTGAGAGGGATTTCTGAAGTCTCTTCTGCTTCTAATCAGGTCACAACTTTCCTGTCACTGGACAATGTGCCATGTGACCAGTAACTTTGACAAAACTTACATTTTGTTTTATTGAACTTTATTCCTTTTTTTTTCTCTCATTTTTGTGATTTGAAGACTTTTGGGGTTTTGTTTGAGTCTCATTTGACATTTTCCATTGGATTCTCCAACAGTTCTGTTGTTTCAAGATTTCCACAGTTGCAGTTTATCATAGTGACAAATCACAGGTGTGCTCACCTGTACTGATGAGAAACAGGTGAGAGTTGCACCTGTTTCTCATCAGATGACATGATGAGATCATCATGTCATCTATCCAGAATCTACACTTCCTATTTTCTGCTACCGTCTCCCTGAAGCCATTGTTTTTCTTTTGTCTTGTGCGATTATTGCAGTAAAAATTTCAGCTCCTGATAGTGTCTCTTTCTGTAGGGAAGGTGTTTTTAGTGTTAAGGAGGAATTTCCACTTTAAAAAAATAAAATAAAAATCTTACTGCTGTTCAATATTTTTCAAATTAGGGATGAAAGTTTGTAAGATGTTAAAGTAGATCCAGATAGTTGGTAATCATCTTGGCCATGCCCTCTACTGGTCTGAGAATCTCTAATGTCTTCTGCTTGACCTTGTTCTCATAAACTGCCATCTGGGAAATTTTACAGATTAACCCAACCTGATGCTCAAACTCACCATCTGCTTGCAAAGCTGGAAATGAACCCTTCTTTTCCACACTCAAATACTTTTTTGATGTAAATTTGCTGTAAATTCATCATCTATCAATTGGTCACCTCATTTTACCTAAAAAAAAAAGTTACAATGAATCACCTGAAACATCTACCTCAGTGATAACGCTGAGATATTCTGAAGTAATGCAGGTTTAATATTTCTCTGTCCTAGCCTGACCTATGTGGAGAGAGTTTGACAGTTCTGTAGGTGTCTCAATTTTTTGTTGTTTTTCATTATTATTATTATTATTATTATTATTATTATTATTTTCTTTTAAAGTAGTGGAAGGTAAAATCCTGTTCTCAATTAAATTTCTCTAATAAATAAAATCTTAAGACTGAAGCAAATATGATGTGGTATTTTCATTTCACTATAAAGGTGTGAAGCATATAAAGACAAGAAAGAATATTGGCTACATTGATCTCACAGCCAGTTTTATTCAGCTATCGGGTCTTTTGAGATTGGGGGAGAGTTAAGAAATTATAAATGACAAGATATGAATCCAATATTTTTATGTATCTTGCTGTTCGAAACACTTCTTCCTAATATTAAGCTTGTCAGTCCACTCCTTTTGAATGTCAACGGATGTGCTTGTGTCTCTGCAGTTTTTAGGCTAATTTCAAATGATTTTGAAATAAAGTCTAAAAACCAGGGCCCATCTGTAATCGGCACCAATGAGGCGAATCATTGGATGCTGTGAGAGCAGAGTGAAATCAGCACCCTCCAAGTAGGTGTGCCGTGTACGAGTAAATCTTTCCTCCTTTCCATTATTCCAACGTGGTGAAAATTGCCCGTCTGAGTACAAGCCGGCAATATTCCCAGCAGTCGTCCATTTGGCTCTTAGAGAGGCTCCACTCTCCGCATCAGCAGTGAAACAGAGGTCACATGCTGAACAGTCACCCTGGGGTTAAAATGATAGAGTTTGTTCCAGTTTAATTTACTCAGGAACACAGGACGCC